CCCCAAAACCCCAAAACCCCAAAACCCCAAAACCCCATTAGAATTTAGAGAGCTGAAGGTTATATATTTTTTAAATATGAGCAATCAGCAGAATTAGTAAGACATTTTAGGTGAGATTTAGCCAATATTACTCAAGCAATGCAACTCCAGAGCCGAAGAATATCCTCAAGAGAGGATATCAATCAAAATTAAAAGCGAAAGCGACCAATAAGTTAGCTAATTCTGGAAATTTTACATCCCGAGGTAAGCTCACTATTGATATTTTAGGCTTTCAAGGGCACTTAACTGCTGAAAATTCCTATCAGAAGGACTTTAATAGGTAATTTTTGATAAACTTCTTCTCATATACTGTTTTCTCAACCAAAATTGCAAAATTTCGAGTTTTTCTAGGTCAGTTGATATATATCTTTAAAATCTTTCATAAATAACTTCTGACACTGTACTACCTACCTTTTACTCTATTGTGAAGTAAACCCCAAAAAACTGTTCCTTGGCTACTATTTCTCAAGTAAAAACCTTTACTAAAACTCGCTTTATAGGACATTTCAGTGTAGAAGGCCTCGAAAGTCTTGAAACAAAATAAAATATAAAGTAATCAAGAATTCAAAAAGACATCATAAAGGGATCAAACTAATAAGGACCTCCTTAAATCTCGCTGTAACCTCTTGGTCAACCAAGGAGTTTTCAAGGTTTGCGACTAAGCAGCGGGTTAATAAGGAGAAGTCCAAGGTGTCTCTTTTCAGCAAGATAAAGGCCCATTCAAAGTCTATAAATAAATCCAACTTCTGCCTTGCAAAATTTGGGGAACGCTCGTCTATATCAAACATTTCACATCAGGACGAGCAGCGACCATTGAAAGGAGCCAGTACGAACGTTTTTGAGGACGAGGCAGATATTTCTGAAGGCCTTCCAGAGCTTCATGATAGCCCAGATCCTAAACTAAAGGTAAAACTCGCCAAATTCAGCTTATCTAGATCAACAAATCCGAGAAATATGAGCCTTATAGTACAGTAAATACTCATATTTAGACAAGACAAATAGAAGTTATGGGAAATAGTGATGCCATAGAGAATTCCATTGAGAGGATCACTAGGGATGAACCCTCTGTCAAAATCACTGAAGGTACTGATGAATTTCATCCTTAGGACTGAGCGACACTGGAAGTCTATACTTTAAGACAGCTTCGAACGCTATTTCTAGAGAAAAGGAGATTACTACAAATGTTACAGAGACAGATAGAAGGCACTCTACTAGAATGTACTCTAAACTGAAGCAGCTGAGAGAGAAAGCCCTCCTTGGCTTTCTCCCAGACCAGCAGCTTATGTTTGGTAGGAAATATACGGAAGAGTGCTGAGATCTAACTCCGAGACTTTTTCAAAATATAGTAAATTTCAGGATAATTCATAGTAAACTTAGCTGATTTATTTCATCGCAACCAGGAAATAAATTCACCGCCTTCTAAAACCAGGGCTATCGACTCAAAAGGAGTTATTGGTAAGCCAAAATGCTGCTAGCAATAGCTAGCTGTTCTTAATAATTTATTTCTGATATATCCGTACTGATCGACCAATTTTATAACTTTTATTAACAGCATTTGAAATTATTACTGTTTGGAAATTTTCATACCAAGACTTAGGTGGCAAAAAAATAGATTTAAGCTGAAGTAATTCAAATGACAAGAATAACTCTAAGACTGAGTGTGTTTCTCATTCTGAAGAACAGAAGGGTCAAGACATTTTAAATCTGCCATATAACTCCGACCAGAATGCCTCTGTTGATAAAAGATCAAGAAAAGCCTCCTGAAAGGCTAATGATTCATTGAAAACCCCTGAGTATAATATTTTGACTAAGAAAATGAGTCGCAAGGCTCCTCTTCTTGGGTCAAACAAGAAGTCTCCAGGGCTAGTAGCCCTGGATATGACTCAGATTAATCAAAATTCATCAGAGGAGCTTAGCCCTTCTGACCAGATCCAGATACCCTTGCCATCAATGACTTGTTCTAAGCGTCTGAATCATGTTAAAAGCAGCCTAAATTTCTCACATGCTGTCGAGCAATCTCAGAATGGTGGAGAATATTTAGTAAATCCTTGATAACTTTTAGTTGGGCTTAAGTCACTCCAAACCAACAGTTAAAAAATGCCATTCGATAAGGAAAAAGAACCAAAATTGCTCCTTAGGAATGAAAAATAGCAAAAGTTTTAAAAATTTCGTATCTTGAGTAATTTATTTTTAGAAACTGGGATTGATGCTTTCAGCACGAGTCTTCAAACCAGAGAGAAAGAGGTATAATGATCATAAAGAAGATTTACATCTACAAATAAAACAGCTGAAGGATCAACTTATTGAAAAAAACCAGGTCAACAGTAACCTTTCATGTATTTGTCCTCACTAATGTTTAGCTGAGTTAGATCAACTTCGTACTGAAAATAGCGAGCTTCGGGAGTATGTAAATGACCTCCTCATCCATGAAATCCATCAGCTGTAAGAAGGATCCTTACAAAGCCTTTAAGGTATTTTTCATAAGACATTTTTGGCAGCTTCTAATCTATGAATTTCAATTATTGGAAGTGAGGATGGGGTTTTGGGGTTTTGGGGTTTTGGGGTTTTGGGG